GCAAGGCGATATGGCTGTTGAAACCCAGGAGGCGGAGCTTGCATGAGCTGAGGATGCACCACCTGACTCCCAGCCTGGGCGACAGAATTGAAACTCCGTCTCAAAAAAAAAAAAAAAGTTGACTTGACTCCACTTAAAGACTATTTTAAAAAATTATGTAATAAACAATTTTATTGATTAAAGAGATGTTAACGAATAATTTTCTTAACTGAAGATTATGTACTGAAAAAAAGTGTTTAGATGTTGGCACTTCTGTTCATGCATACACATGTTACAATGTTAAATAGGCATTTCTGGGAAGTATATACACCAAGATATTACCATATATTTATCTCCAAGAAGGTAAAACAAACATGTTTTAAAATTTTCATTCTGTCAGAGGCATGGGGGCTCACCACCTGTAATCCCAGCACTTTGGAGAGCCCAAAGCAGGAAGGATCCTCTTGAGCCTCAGGGAGTTTCAGAACAACCTGGGCCAACCATGGAAACCTCTCCCGCAACCCTTACAAGTAATTTTTTTTTTTTTTTTTTTTGAGACGGAGTCATCGGCTCTGTCGCCCAGGCTTGGAGTGCAGAGGCCGGATCTCAGTCACTTGCAAGGCTCCGCCTCCCGGGGTTTTCGCCATTTCCTGCCTCAGCCTCCCGAGTAAGCAGGACTACAGGCGCCCGCCCACCTTCGCCCGGCTAGTTTGTTGTATTTTTTCATATGAGACGGGGTTGGTCTCGATCTCCTGACCTCGTGATCCACCCGTCTCGGCCTCCCAAAGTGCTGGGATTACAGGCTTGAGCCACCGCGCCCGGCCACAAGTAATTTTTTTTTAATTAGCTGGCTGTGGCAGTGTGTGCCTGTGGTCCCAGCTACTAGGGCAGCTAGGGTGGGAGGATCACTTGAGCCTGGGAGGTTGAGGCTGCAGTGAGCAGTATTTGCATGCAGAAGATGATTGGATCATGGGGGAAGTTTTCCCCAGTGCTGTTCTCATGATAGTGAATGAGTTCTCACAAGATTTGATGGTTTTATAGAGCAATTTTCCCTGCTCTTGCAAGCGCTCTCTTTCCTGCCGCCATGTGAAGAAGGTCCTTGCTTCCCCTTGAGCTTCTGCCATGATTGTAAGTTTCTTGAACCCTCCCCAGCCATGTGGAACTGTGAGTTGATTAAACCTCTTTTCTATGTAAATTACGAAGTCTTAGGCAGTTCTTTTTTTTTTTTTTTTCCCCAGTGGAATCTTGCTCTGTCTCCCAGGCTGGAGTGCAGTGGTGCAATCTCAGCCCACTGCAACCTCCACCTCCCAGGTATAAGCAATTATCCTGACTCAGCCTCTCGAATAGCTGGGACTACAGCACCCACCACCATGCCTGGCTAATTTTTTGTATTTTTATTAGAGATGGAGTTTCACCTTGTTGGCCAGGTTGGTCTCAAACTCCTGACTTCAGGTGATCCACCTGCCTTGGCCTCCCAAAGTGCTGGGATTACAGGCATGAGCCACTGCATCTGGCCTCAGGCAGCTCTTTATAACAGTGTGAGAATGAACGAATACAGGAAACTGGTACTGCAGAGTGGGGTACTGCGATACAGGTACCAGAAAATGTGGAAGTGACTTTGAAACTGGGTAACTGGTGGAGGTTGAAACAGTCTGGAGGGCTCAGAAGAAGACAGGAAAATGTGGGAAAGTTTGGAACTTAATAGAAACTTGTCAGATGGTTTTGACCAAAATGCTGTTAGTAATGTAGACAACGAAGTCCAGGCTGAGATGGTCTCAGATGGAGATATAGAACTTCTTGAAAATTGGAGCAAAGGTCACTTTTGCTATGCTTTAGCAGAGCAACTGGTGGCATTTTGCCCCTGCCCTAGAGATCTGTGGAACTTTGAACTTGAGAGAGAGTATCTGAAATTGGAACTTATGTTTAAAAGGGAAGTAGAGCATAAACGTTTGGAAAATATGTAGCCTGACGATATGATAAAAAAGAAAAATCCATTTCCTGGGGAGAAATTCAAGTTGGCTAGAGAAATTTGCAAAAGTAACAAGGAACAGAATGTTAATTACCAAGACGATGGGGAAAACGTCTCCAAGGCATGTCAGAGACTTTCACAGCAGACCCTCCCATCACAGACCCAGAGGCCTAGGAGGGAAAAATGGTTTCCTGGGCCAGGTCCAGGGCTCCCCTGATGTGTGCAGCCTTGGATTTGGTGCCCTGTGTCCCAGCCACTCCAGTCGTGGCTAAAAGGGACCAAGGTACAGCTCAGGCTGTTGCTTCAGAAGGTGCAAGCCCCAACTCTGGGCAGCTTCCATGTGGGATTGGTACTGCGGGTGCACAGAAGACAAGAATTGAGGTTTGGGAACCTCTGCCTAGATTTCAGAAGATGTATGGAAACACCTGGATGTGCAGGCAGAGGTGTGCTGTAGGGGTGAAGCCCTCATGGAGAACCTCTGCTAGGGCAGTGCAGAAGGGAAATGTGGGGTTGGAGCTGTTCTTATGATAATGAGTTCTCATGCAATCTGATGGTTTTATAAGGCAGTTTTTCCTGTTCCTGCTAGCTCTCTCTTTCCTAATACCATGTGAAGAAAGGTCTTTGCTTCCCCTTCACCTTCTGTCATGATTGTAAGTTTTCTGAGGCCTTCCCAGCCATGCAGAACTGTGAGTCAAACCTCTTTTCTTTATAAGTTACCCAGTCTTGGGCAGTTCTTCATAGCAGTGTGAGAACGAACTAACACACCCCTTTTCCTTTTTATTTCTACTAAGTCAAAGTCAGTGCTTGCACAAGCAATCAATTACAGTATTAGTTATGAGTAGTACTTTTGGGGGATTTTCCTCTTCACAAAACGGAGTATGTAGCTGCCCTTGGGCATTTGAAGGTCTAAGACAGATGAGGAATAAACAGAGAGAGCATTAGAGAACTCCAGTATCTTTGCTTTCAGGGGAAAACAATTACTCATAGAGTATGGTTCCACAAAGTTAAAACCCAGTGCATAAATCTGACCTCAGAGAATCAGTCTTCCCCCAAGTAATCAAAACTGCAACCTACCCCGCTCCTGCTGTTCTTGCTCACATCCACTCATTCACATGCACATCACACACAGACTGTCTCAGAACCTGCTACTAGAGGAAAATGAACATCCTGCCTCACGTGAGGACCATAAGCTCTGGCATCAGAATGAACTCGTCTCTGGCCCTAACTCTGCCACCTAACTCTGCCAGCAAGCTACAGAACTCTCTAAAATTTGTCTCCTCATCTAGAAAGTGAAGGAAAAAATAGGTCTGTGATGGTTAATGTTAGGTGCCAGCTTGACTTGATTAAGGGGCACCCAGACAGCTGGTAAAGCACTATTTCTTTCTGCACAGATATGTCTGTTAAAGTGATTCTGGAAAAGATCGGCATTTGAATCAGTGGCCTGAATAAGGAAGAGCCTCCTCACCCAATGTGGGCAGGCACTATCCAATTGGTTGAAGACCTGGATAGACAAAAAAGGCAGAGGAAAGGAGAACTGTCTCTCTCTCTCTTTCTCCCCTCTCTCCCTCAAAGCTAGGATGCCCTTTTTTCCTGCCTTGGATATTAGAACTACAGGTTCTGTGTGGCCTTTGGAGTCAGGGACTTGAACCAGTGACTCTCCCCTACCCTACCTTCAACCTAGGACTGAAAGTGATATCATCAGCTTCCCTGGTTCTGAGGCTTTCAAACTTGGACTAAGCCACCCTACTGGCTTCCCCGGTTCTGAGGCTTTTGAACTTGAACTGAGCCACACTACTGGCTTCCTTGGTTCTCCAGCTTGGAGACAGTTTATGTTGGGATTTCTCTGCCTCCATAATCATGTAAGCCAATTCCCCTAATAAATCCCCTCTCATATATCTCTATCCCTATTTATCTCTACCTCTATCTATCATCTATCTATCTATCTATATATCTATCCATCTATCTATCTATCTTTATCTCTATCCTATTGGTTCTTTCTCTCTGGAGAATCCTGACTAATACAAGGTCCTACCTCAGAGTAGTGAAGCTTATTTTAGATAATGCATTAAAGTATCCAGCATAGTACTTGGCAGGTTAATTACCAGTTCTCCTTAAATGATGGCCATTAGACACACTTACATAATTACTTCTGACAAGAAAGTAAACTCAAGAGTCATACCAATGACTTTTATTTAAGATGATTTGTGAGTTGATGTGTAAGAAGGGTTGGTGAAGCTACGTGGGTGGCTCTTTAAATACCTTGTATTACGTTTTCAAATTTTTCTTTATTCTATTAAAATACCTTTTATTCTCTTTATTCCCATAAAAAGGCAACCAAGCAGAATATACTCTCAACTAAGATGCCAGCAGTAATTGGGGTATGATGCAAGTCATCTTGGAGCAGCTACATACCCTGCCCACTGCAGTCACTCAGCATCTGCAGTTGCTTTTTATAGCTGTTTTTACCCCCAACCCCGCCCCCATCCACATCCTGAAATGGTGAATTAGGGCTCAAAGAAAAAAACCAAAACTAGCATCTGATGTCATGAGGCGGAAGCAGAGTATTATTCAGGCCCTTTTTCAAACAGGGGAGCCATGTGTGCTTCTCCATGTTCTTCTTTCCTAGAGCTCCTTTCTTCCTCTACTTTCTTTCGGGATTTTATCTCCATCCTCAGGCATTCTCTTTCATTTCTCTCCTTTCTGCTTTCAGGTCCCTGAAAGGGAAAGAGCAGAAACAGGTAGAAATGCACAAACAGCTGACAACACTCCACATTTCTCTTAATAATCAGACACAGAGAAAGCCCTGATGGTTTAGCAGACTTCCACCTCTTGGTTTCCAGAAATACATTAGCATAAACCTAAGGATGTTGCTAAAGGTTTTGGTCACAAAGAAAAGAATAGAGGGGATTGGGCATTAGCAGATGGTCTGGGAAGGAAGTACAACCTGCACACACCTGTGACTCTTTGTCTCTGAACATACTGAGGGGCATGATTTCATGGCACGATGAAATTAACAGTCCCCTGGTGCTTTTTGAAAAGGAAAGTGTCAAGTGAGATCACACATGGAATGATTCTTAGCACTCTGTGTTCAGTCCCTTAAATTACATTAATAGTAGAGTTTTCACTAAATTTTAATGTGAGGACTGTGGGAAGAATGAAGTGTTAAGGAATGACACCCAACATGTGTCCCCAGGATTCCACATTATTCACTGATTAATTGAACATATACTGTTGTTGTTGGATCAGGAGATATAACACTAAATAGACCTACTTCCTAGATATTACACCTAGGTGGAGGGATACAGACAGTCATCAATAAGCCTAAAAGGAAGTGAAAAAATAATCCACAGTGATAAGTGCAATGATAACTGTAAACAGAGTGATAGGGACCTACTGGAGGGTGGGGGGTTGCTTCTTTAGTTTGTATGGCCAGAGGGTGCCTTTCAAAGGAATTACCAAAACGATGGCATTAATAAATGTGGCCACGGTATCTATTTATGCTTCTATTTTAAAAAATAAACAAGCAAAACCATTACTCCTCTCCTATTCAAACTAGAAATGTTGGGAAACCCCTTAGTGTTTATCAGGTGAAGTTAAGCAGTGGTGAGTGGCGGTCACATGAGCAAGGTCATGCGTGCTCAGCTGCGCTGGCTGAGAGTTATTGAGGCATCTATCTGTTTAACACAGTGGTGTCAGCCACTCTACAATGTTAATGCAGTCATTAAGGTCTCTTATCAAAATGGTATAAGAAAGAGAAAATAGAGTGATGATTAAAGACCATCTGAGAAATGCTTGTAAATAATGCTTGGAAATACATTTTATCACATCACTTAGATGCTAAATGTGAAAATTATCAAAATAAGCCGACTGAATTTTTAAATATCAAAATGAAAGAATTTAACATTGTTGGTCATGATCAGGACACAGAAACAGTTTCTGGTTCTTTTTGATGTCAAACTATGTAAAATTTAAATCTAGGTATTAGTATATATTTGGTCCCCAAACAAAAGACGATATAAATCATTTTTAAATTTGCTGAAAAATAACACTTTTTAATGTAGTTAGCCTTAGGAAAGCGTGTAGATTATCAAATAGGGAAAAGTTGAAGTGTATCTGTATATGTTCTGAATTTCTAATTTTGCATTAAGATTTTATAAAGTACTCTTTAAAAACTGATATAAAATAAAATATTTAAATTAAAATTAGTTATATAATGTGAAAATTTTAAAAATTTTATAAATTCCTAACAGGTTTCTAGTTATTATATATAACCATGAAAAAGAGTTTCGAGTTTAAAAAGTAGAAAATGCTTCCCTAAGTATCTTGGAACTCAAAAGGAAGAACGTGGAAAATGAATGCAACAAGCATATTTTATATTTTAGAGATAATACGATGAAGATCTTTTTAAGCAAAATGACTTTATACACTTCTAGGGCTTATAATAATAATATCAGCTAATGTCATGAAAGACAAGGAAAGACAGAGAAAGTGCTCCAGGGTAAAATAGACCACAGGAACATGAACATCAGTAGCAACACATGATTTCAAATTTCACTATAAAGAATATTATTGGGACAACTGGCAAAAAATATAAATAAGGTTTATGAATTAGAGATAATAGTATTATATCAGTATTAATTTCCTGAGTTTAATTATTGTATTGTGTTTACGTCAGAGAAAGTTCTTGTGCCTGTGTTTGGAGATGGGAAGAGGAGAGATAGTGCAGGCAAATATGGACGTGTTAACATTTGGAGGTAATCTAGGTGAAGGGTGTATGGGAATTCTTTGTCCTATTCTTGCAACATTTCTCTAAGCCTGAGACAATATGAAAACACACAGTATTTTTTTAAAAAAGCAAAACAGCAATCCTTTTTTTTTTTTTTTTTTTTTTTCCTTGAGAGTCTTGCTCTGTTGCCTAGGCTGGAGTACAATGGCTCCAATCACAGCTGACTGCAGTCTCAAACTTGGGCGCAAGGGATCCTCCCACCTCAGCCTCCCAAGCAGTCAGGAACACAGGTACAGGCCACCATGGCTGGCAGTTTTTTTTTTTTTTTAATTTTCATAGAGACAGGATTTCACTATGTTGCCCAGGCTGGTCTCAAATTCCTGGCCTCAACCTTCCAAAGTGCTGGGATTATAAGAATTCTTAATAATAAGGTTTAGATACAGTAAAACGACAGCTGTCCACTATTCCCCCTTCCTTGTTCCTCTTCTGATCAGGTGGAGAAAGCAGCCTACAGAAGGGAAACCATATGGATACAGGGTCACTCTGAGCAAAAGTAAGGTGTCACCTGTAAGGCAAAGATGCACAGTGAGTCTCAACAGTTAATCTGCTAGATAGACAGCACCGTGCTCAGATGGACAAGGAAACACAAAGCACTCAAGTATCTTCACCAGTGGACTCAGAGTCTAGCTCCAGAACCAGGAGTCATTACGCTTAGGTTCAGTTATTTGTTTTGTCTACTACACGGCAGCAACCCATTATTATTCCGGTTTTGCAAAATGAAACAAAAAACCAAAGACCTACAAAAAAGAAGCATTTTGCTCAAGGCCAGTCAGTGAGCATGCTGCAGAGTTGAAACATTAATTGATCTTTAGTTTATTACTTTATTTGATCTTTAGTTTATTACTTTATTTATCAAGTTTAGCATCATGAGTGGAGTTTCTATATTTCTATACTTCCCCCCATTTCATGTCTGTCTCTTCCTTTTACTTTACTGAGACTCCCATGACGTCACCGTGAGCACCTAGCCCACTCCTGTTCCTGGATACTTACTAGACAGTGTTTGGTCGTTCTTGTGTTTTTTAACTATAGGAGAACAAAACACCATCATGGACTATTTGCTAGAGCATTAAATATGAAAGGAGAGAAGCCACGGGGGCAGTTTTTTTCCCCCAAATTGTAAAAGGAGAATGAGTTACAATTATTTATAATAAGGTTGATGAAAGTAGGCTCAAGAAACTAGGGGGCTGAGTGTGGTGACTCATACCTGGAATCCTAGCACTTTGGGAGGCTGAGGCAGGAGCACTGCTTGAGCCCAAAAGTTTGAAACCAGCCTGGGCAGCATAACAAGACCCTGTCTCTAGAAAAAAAAAGTTTAAAATTTAGTCAGTCATGGTGGCACATGCCTGTAGTCCCAGTTACTCAAGAGGCTGAGGTGGGAGGAACACTTGAGACCAGGAATTCGAGGCTGCAGTGAGCCATGATCAGGCCACTGCACTCCAGCCTGGGCAACAGAGTGAGACCCTATCTCGAAAAAAAAAAAAAAGAAAAACTAGAAGACTTTGGTAAGAAAAATGTTTCGGGAACTCTTCCTATACCAGATGTCTTCAATTATAAATAATAATTTTCAAAAATTCAATCTGGGTTGTGTTAAACTGAATGTCATTTTTCAAAGATCTTATTACTAAACTGTAAATGAAGAAGTTACATTTGTTCCCCTCAATGTTAAAGAGGACAAAACCTTTGGGTTTCCTTTTCTAAAGTGGCTTAAATATTCAGTAGCTCTGCTACATACCAAAGAGGCAGAACGTTTGGTTCTAAAGCACAGCTGTCGTTCAAAGGACTCCGAAAATTTCTCAATTTTGGAATGGGATCTGCCTTTTGATTCCAGTGGCTCCTTGAATGACCCATCCTCTGAGTATTTTCCGTAATCCCGCACGTGGCTACGGCATCGAAATTCTTGGTCCTCATGAGAATGCCTTCTAGGAAGACGGTCAGATGATCGGCATCGGAATTCCTGGTCCTCATGAGAATGCCTTCTAGGATGACGGTCAGATGATGGAATTCTGGGAAGCACAGGAAGCTGAGAATACAGAATGAAAAAATTTACAATATAAAAGGACTGTGCAATGTTAGCACAGAGGCAGAATGTTTATAAACTACTAACTAAATGAATCTCACGTTGAATTGATATGTTTTCTTTGTGAAAGGAAAATAAAACTTGGGGCCCCCAAATTACTAAGCTAAAGGGAAAAGTCAAGCTGGGAACTGCTTAGGGCCAACCTGTCTCCTATTCTTTCAAAGTCACCCCTCTGCTCACTGAGATAAACGCATATCTGATTGCCTCCTTTGGAGAGGCTAATCCGAAACTCAAAAGAATGCAACCATTTGTCTCTTAACTACCCATGACCTGGAAGCCCCCTGCCCACTTTGGGTTTTCCCGAAACCCTTTGCTTTGAGTTGTCCTGCCTTTTCAAATCGAACCAATGTTCATCTTGCATATGTTGATTGATGTCTCATGTCTCCTTGAATGTATAAAACCAAACTGTGCTCTTACCACCTTCGGCACACGTCGTCAGGACCTCCTGAGGCTGTGTCATGGGCATGAATCCTCAGCCTTAGCAAAATAAACTTTCTAGATTAACTGAGACCTGCCTCAGATTTTGGGGGTTCACATTTTGGCAACCATGAAGGGATTCTGAGCGGAGATGCCCTTGACCTTTGACAAATCTCCTATTGGTGCTTGGTACCAGCATGAGCTAACTTTATGGCTCAAATCAATAGGACAATTTGCTGAGGTCTGAGAGCACCCCCTCCAGAGAGTCCCTGATCTCCCAAAATTTGGTCTCGATCTAAAGTTTATTTTGCTGTACAACTCCTCTCTCTCTCTCCCCCCCTTTTTTTTTTTTTTTTTTTTGGAGTTTAGTTTTACTTGCTTCCAACAAGGAAGGCAAGATTTCCTGTTTCCATGATGATGGAAGGCAGGTAACTTTTATGGAGTTTGAGCTTGCTTCCAACAGGGAAGATGAGGTGTTTGCTTTTTTCTTTTCCTGCTTGTTAGGATGGTAGAGAGCAGTCCACAGCCTGAGACCCATCCCTAGGTAAGGAACTGAATTAGCATTTGTCTTGGCTAAAGTTAAGATTGACATCCAGGCCAGGCGTAGTGGCTCATGCCTGTAATCCCAGCACTTTGGGAGGCCAAGGCAGAGGGATCATCTGAAGTCAGGGGTTCGAGACCAGCCTGGACAACATGGTGAAACCCTGTCTCTACTAAAAAATAGCAAAAGATTAGCTGGGCGTGGTGGTGTGTGCCTATAGTCCCAGCCGGAAGGCTGAGGCAGGAGAATAGCTTGAACCCTGGAGGCAGAGGTTGCAGTGAGCTGAGATCGCGCTATTGCACTCCAGCCTGGGCAAGAAGTGCGAAACTACGTCTCAAAAAAAAAAAAAAAAGATTAATACACAGTTCCAGCTGGCATTAATTTCTCTTTGCCATTAGAGCACTCAGTGACCATATAAGTTGTGCCATCATTTGTTTTGTTTAACTGTTTTTTTATTGTTGTTTCTGTTTTTGTTATTGTTTCAGTCTTTTTCCCATTGGGTTTGATCAACTCTACCTGACTTGATCAAATCAAAAGGAAATTTCCAAAACTATGGGGAATAAGGCCTCTGAAGTGGCTATGTTCCCACCAAAAAAGTGGTATGGTAGGGGGAGAAAAACAGCCAGCAAAAGGAAAAATAAAAAAAGGAAAGTTTTTTTACTTTGACTACTTAAGAGTCTTTATTTACATAACAAGGCCATCTTTTTGCTATCCAGGCCAAACTGAAAGCAATGGCTGTCACCCCACACTGCAGTTTGATAGCTAAGGTCCTGCCTTCTTTTTTCCACCATGACAGCCTGGGTTTTGTTTCTTAAATAAAGCCCTTTCTGGTTTGATACTTGGTACTTCTGAAATAATTGTAATTTGTCCTAGCTAAAATATGGTAATAAGATTTAAAAAGTTTTTTTTAAGGAGCTCAATGATTAAAGTAAGCTTAATTAAAAGCTAACATTGAAGATGTATGTGTATATGTGTATGTGTGTGTGTTTGTATTTAAAAGGCCTTCATGTTTTTGGTTGTTTTTTTGTTTTTCTTTTTGTATGTTTGTTTGTTTGTTTTGTCTCCTAGGACCTTGTCCTTTTTTAAGCAAAAGTTTTTTTCTTCACGGTTGACTGAATCCTGTTTTCTTCATTTACTTCTGCTGTCTCTCCTTTCTCTTGCACCCTCTGCTGCATGAGAGACCTAAAATAGTATATAATAGCCCAGGGTTCTTTAACGAAAACAGAGAAGGTGCCAGACTCCCTTTGGGGGAGAAACCTGTTTTTCCTTATGGAACCACAAGAGTGTAAACAGACAAGTTTGTCTCAGCTTTTAAACTGCTTGCTTTTGTATTCTGTCACCTGATTTATTGTCTAAAATAATTACTGCAACAGAGAATGCTCTTGGGTTTGTAAAGAAGAATGTATTTAGACACTTAGAAATGTCTTTATTGAAAAAACAAAAAAATTAAGTGCACTGTAAAAACATCACATGGGCTAGCCTCAGGATAATTCTCCATTTTTGGAAAGCCAGGATTCAGTGTGGGCTCTGCCCAAAGCTCAGACATCCAGTTGAAAGATAGGTAGACCCTATGTAAATAAAATTAGTCTCCTTATACAATCCTATAATAGATTTTTATAATTTTATGTTTTATTTGACATCCATTGTTAATCTTCCTCTAGCATACCAGACTTTTATTCTCCATACCTTACAATGTAAGTTTTGCTACTAGATTTTTCACCTGAGTTGCTTCCTTTAATATGTAAACTTAAAGCTATTTAGCTGATAACTGCCTAGGGTTGTGAAACAGGTTATCAAGAATCTGAATGTCTAAGATAGGAAAAAAAAAACAACGGTTTTTATGAATCTATAAGATGTACTTCTTTCAGCATCCCTAATACCTCTATGTATTTATGTGTTGTGGACACAGTGTTTCACTACTGAAAATATATAAAAGAGCTCTAATTAATTGGTTTAAAGAAAAATAAAAGCACTTGAATCAATACTTTATCAGGACAAAAGAAAAGACTAGTCAAATGTGTTTTCAACTTTATGTAACTTAAGTAAAACCTTTAATAAGTAAGCTAACTTTAAAATTATTGGTAAAATAATACTAGAAATGTTTTAAGAATTGCCAGCATACATATTTGTTTGCATTTATTAATCAAGTAATTTTATGCTTATCCCTACCAAATATTATAAGGTGACAAAATTTGACATAGGGGTTACAGAACTATAAACCCAGCCAAAAACAGAATGATCTTTACTTGTGTAATATTTAATAATTTGACAACGATATTGGTTTAATAAAAATAGCTACATTTTGAATTTAGTAAGAGTACCATAACTTCTCATCTTGTGACTTTAGGCAGTCTAGTCCACAGGCAGTGAGGCTTGTTTTGGCAAAGGACTGTTATTGTCTTTGTTTCAAAGCTAAATTATAAACTAAGTTCCTCCCAAAGTTAGTTCAGCCTATGCCCAGGAATAAACAAGGACAAACTTAAAAGGAGGTTAAAAGCAAGATGGAGTCAGTGAAGTTCAATCTTTTTCACTGTCTCAGCTATAATCTTACAATGGTGGTTCCATAACTTTAAATGATGATTATTACAGTTTTCATAAATAATCCAGGTAAACAATTAAAATAAAATGATTAGGTAAATGTAATGGGATAAATACTTGTAGACAAACCTGTCATAATTTAGAATCTAAAGTTAAATTAAACAATAGATATTTCATTATTTGAGTATTTTCCAACAAAAATATATTTGTAGGAAAACATTCTTTCTTAAAGAAAAGGTGTGTTATTTTAAAAGAGAAGAACAATTTTTGTCTAATTCAAAGCTTATTTAAAGGTCATATATAAAACAAGGTAACAGGAAACAAGAGAGATGTAAAAAAAAAGTTATAAAAATAAAGAGGGAGTTTCTTTGTAAGAAAGCTTGAAGAGAAATAATTTCATAGGAGAAAGACTCTTGTATGGTAAATTTAGTCCTAGAGTAAAATGACTGGTTGTTTAAGAAAGAAGGATGCTCAGATCAAACCAGAAAATCCAAGCATGTCATGAATGGTCTGTGTAAGACATAACAAAAGGATTTTATTTTATTTTATTTTATTTTATTTTAATTATAGTTTAAGTTCTAGGGTACATGTGCACAATGTGTAGGTTTGATACATAGGTATACATGTGTCATGTTGGTTTGTTGCACCCATCAACTCATCATTTACATTAGGTATTTCTCCTAATGCTATCCCTCCCCCAGGCCCCCATGCTCCATCAGGCCTCTGTGTGTGATGTTCCCCACCCTCTGCCCAAGTGATCTCATTGTTCAATTCCCACCTATGAGTGAGAGCATGCGGTGTTTGGTTTTCTGTCCTTGTGATAGTTTGCTGAGAATGACGGTTTCCAGCTTCATCTATGTCCCTGCAAAGGACACAAACTCATCCTTTTTTATGGCTGCATAGCATTCCATGGTGTATATGTGTTGCATTTTCTTAATCCAGTCTATCATTGATGGACATTTGAGTTGGTTCCAAGTCTTTGCTATTGTGAATACTGTCACGATAAATGTATGTGTCCATGTGTCTTTATAGTAGCATGATTTATAATCCTTCAGGTATATATACAATAAATATATGTGTGCATGTGTCTTATAGTAGCATGATTTCTAATCCTTCAGGTATATGCCCAGTAATGGGATTGCTGGGTCAAATGGTATTTCTAGTTTTAGATCCTTGAGGAATCACCACAGTGTCTTCCACAATGGCTGAACTAATTTACACTCCCACCAACTGTGTAAAAGTGTTCCTATTTCCCCACATCCTCTCCAGCACCTGTTGTTTCCTGACTTTTTAATGATCACCATTCCCACTGACGCAAGATGGTATCTCATTGTGGTTTTGATTTGTATTTCTCTGATGACCAGTGATGATGAGCATTTTTTCATGTGTCTGTTGGCTGCATAGATGTCTTCTTTAGCGAAGTGTCTGTTCATATCCTTTGCCCACT